GCAAGTCTTAGACTCTTAGTATAATATCTATTATAATAATAATAATAGTACATTTAAATTGTAATCATAAGCTGACCATCTTTAGGAAGTTGTGGAAGCTGCTCCTGCAGATAGTCGGCCATGGCGGCGGCATGCTGCTGCAGCTTCTCCAGCACCGCCACCTCCGTGGCCACCGCCGCCAGACGCGCCTCCTCCACCTCGCCACGAGTCTCCAGCAGCCGTCTGTTGTGGCGCTCCTCGCGCTGGATCAACTGTCGCCACATACACTTCATTACAAAATATTCGCCACAATAATAAACTAACTTAATAATAATAAACTTTATTACAAAATATTCGCCAAAATCGTGCTATAATAAACTAGGGATATGTAAATGATTTTGTGACCTAGTGACATAAATCGGTTTTCGGTGAACTAGGGACATATAAATATATGACAAATACGGTACTATAATTTATACGGGGAGGAAGGTATTATATCATTTTCACATGAGGTGAGCAAACGAAAATAAATACTTTAAATTTGATCGAAATTTTAAACCAAAAATGTCCGCAGGCACAATATACGCAGTGAAAAATGTTAGAAGTTTGCCCCAGTGTAAATACGTTTCCTGCGAGGGTAGTGATTAGGGAAAGGGTTGGGGCTGTAGAAAAGGTGGGTGGGGTAGATGGGTGAAAGGACAGAAAAAAGGGAGGGTAAACGTGTGTGATAAAGGGTTGGTGCCAGAGAGAAGTGAAGAGCTGGTCTAAGGGAAAAGGACTACAAAAAATAGTGAAGAAAGGAGTCGGGGAAAAGGGTGGGTGAAAGGGTGATTTCAAGAGTTGGTTGGCTGAGGAAAAGGAACACAGGGACCAGCACAATTCTAGGCTCACCTTGTACTGGAGTATGACTGTCTCTTATACACATCTATTAANGACTCTCCCCATTCCAATACACCTATATTCTATCTATATTCCCATAAACTGTAAGCCGTATATACTATACAAATGATACTGGATCAATCCTCACGCTATGCCTCGTTAATCCTCGGTATCACTTCACGTACCGAACTCACCTTCAAGCTAAACTTGAATAGAATCGAATGTGAGGGTAGCGAGAGAAAACTTTGCCCTTACACATGTTGAAAACTATGGAAAAATATGGAGTAATTTATTCACCTCTCACTAACAAAATTGATATGCTCACTAGACTACAAAGACAATGACTCAATTAAGAAAGTGCTAATCTCTTTAAAGCCGCTCAATCCATATCAGAAAAATTTCCTATCACTATACCGACAAAAGGTCTCAATAAAAGAAGTGGTCAACTTGGCAGCTTTTTATCCTTGGTTTATTATACGTCATTTCAGAAAAAAGTACAAAATTTATTCAATTATATTGTAAAATATATTAATCTCTCATGGGTAGGCAGCAAGTTTGTTTCTCTAGTAAACATAATGTCTAACAAATTTGAAGTGTGGCAGCAAGTTTTCTTCTTCATTAAACATAACGTCGAACAAACTTGAAGTGTGGCGTTAAATTTGCTGCTCTCGTAAACATGGTGTCGAGCAAACATACTATGATAATCTCACCTTCTCATTAGGCTTTTCTTTTAGAACTTTAGAGAAGCCAGATAAGAGAGCTGGTGAGAATTCAGCGTATCGCTGGTGCAGCGCAGAACACAGCAGCACACACGCGTGTACGTCCGTCATCTTAAGTCGGCACTCGAGCAACGCGTTCGCCGCCTCGCCGATGTAGCGGGACAAGTTCAGTGAGAGAGCTTCCTTGCTCAGGCTTTGGTACTGAGACTCGGTGAAGTTACGCTGTAAACCAAGTGAAAATGGCATTAATGAAGAACCAATGTGCGCTCCATGTCTACGAGACTCTGTGAAGCTATAAACCAAGTGAAAAAGGCATTAATGAAGAACATTTGTGCGCTCCATGCTTACGAGATTCTGTAAAACAGCTGTAAAGTGTAAACCAAGCAAAAATGGCATTAATGAAGAACATTTGGGCGCTCCATGTCTACGAGACTCTGTGAAGCTGTAAACCAAGCAAAAATGGCGTTAATGAAGAATCAATGTGAGCAATCGACTAGACGAGTCAACAATCGGAAACGCGGTCCATGTCATTAATTGAGTTATACCCACAGTAAATAAAACGATTGGATTTCACGGAAGTGTGCGGAGTACAGAATATTTTATGGGTCGCGCACTCAAGTGAAATGTACTCGGTATCCACGATATAGACCGCTGTCGGTATATACCCCATTGCTCCTGTCCATGTCAAACAGGACAGGAGCAATGTGTATCCTGTGACAGGAGTGGATACACTATAGACTTATTCATTTCAACTGGACGCCGAAGACAGCACTGTTAAAACTCCAACTTATGAACTTAGATTATCCTAAACTGTAAGCCGAACTATACCGTAATCCAAAAGTATATTCTATAATCGTTTACGCTGTTCCTCTATATCCTCGGATGCCGCTACAACCGAACCATCCCTCAGGTCATACTAATTTACCATTCATATAAGAGGTGCATAAAAAAGCAACTTCTTACAGTGGCGCCCGAACAGGGACTTGTGGAATTCATCCCTTAACTTTACTTCACCCCTCTTATTGAGCGTCAGAAAATAATCTACATCTTTTAACAAAATAAATTTTTGGGCGCCGGAAAGTGAACTGCAAGCATATTAAGAATCTCATGTAAATAAATAGGCATTATGAGATAGCGGCGAGCTGGCCGAATCGCCAGTAAATACAGTGCGGAGTTCATTAAAGGTTTGAAAGCTTAGACAGAATGTTAAGAAGTCAAGGGTTAACGAAACCAGACCAAATCATTTGAAACAATAATTAGTAATATCCGGCGGTATAAAACTGCTGTAATAGCGTTGTTAAATGGAGCTCCTGCACAAAATTATAATGAATTCCACTAAAATGAAATAAGTTCCACCACTAAAATGAAACATTTTCCACCACTAAAATGAAATATGTTCCAACACTAAAATGAAATATGTTCCACCACTGAAATGAAATATGTTCCACCACTAAAATGAAACATTTTCCACCACTAAAATGAAATATGTTCCACCACTAAAATGAAATATGTTCTCACGTGGCAGCCAAGTACAAGTGGCAGCATCTATATACACAAGTACAAGTAGCGGCCTAAGTACAAGTAGCAGCCGATTTTTGGTCTCTATTTGAGGGGCTCAACTCGGAATGCCGTTAGTGAATAGCGGGCAAAATTTTAAACTATTTAACTATTTTTGATAGGACTGCTCTTGTAGTTTAGGGCTGGAAAATTCCTACCTGTGTTCGTTGAGACTCGTCTTCCTCGTCGCCGTCACTGAGCGTGGCACCCGCGCCGTCGTCGCGTTCTTCGTCTTCGTAGCCACGATCCCGATCATCTTCGTCATCATCGTCGTCCACATCATCTGTGTTGGACGTACGTAGAAGTTAACTAATCCTATTTTTTTTATTCAGGTTGTGAAACGATGGGATTGATAGAATACTAATCGTATCCTTGAGGAGGGAACCTTAACTCCAAACAACAGGCACAAAATAGTGACACTAAGCTTAGAATTTACGAAAAAAAGACACAGGATCACTCCGCACCAGCGGAAAAACTCAAGACGAAATGATAATGAATATAAATTGTAAAAAAAATATATCTTTTACAATGTTGAAGATTATCACCTGCATGCTCAGCGATGGTGGGGAGTCCTGAGCTGTCTCCTTGGTCAGGGAAGAACTCACGAAGCTCAGGCGCTTGCTGTGAGTGAAAAACAAATGGCGTAAGCAATAAATCGAAAACATTTGAATTAGTAAAAATTGAACTAGCAAGCTAAAAAACGTTCGTAACTTATCGCTTAATCTCAATAATATATAAAGTACCAAAATTTATAAATATGCTGAAAAATAGAACCAGAATTTCACAGTAACGCATCAACAAAATAATATCAAACAAGAAGTTAAACGCACTCACAAATAATTTTAGAGAAAAAGTTGTGAATTCCTCGCCTTACCAGTAAACATGATTTAGATTTTTTGTCAGCATTGAAAGTACGTCACTCTGTGGAGTTTAATCACATGGTGTGGTTACATCATGACGGCTCTGAATTTCCCATATGAAAGCCACGCTTTGAACGTTGTAACCCCCTTCTTACCACGTCAATGCTTTACATAGGACCGCTAAAACCCCCTGTTTCAGCCTCTCTACGAGGGCATTGTTCACGTCCCTGCTCACCAAGAGCTCATTGCTCACGCCACTGCTCACCAAGAGCTCATTGCTCACGTCACCGCTCACCATGAGAGCTTTGCTCACAAGCTGCTGGTTAAGAACAGTGAGCGCCTCGGCCGCTTGCTCGAAGCTGTCGAAAAGTACGAGAGATGGACGCAGGGCGGATAGACACTCGCGCACAACCTGGTCGTACTCCGCCGGGAAGCTGTCGCTGGCATACCACAGCAACCTCTTGTAGTGGTAATAATACTGCACACAAAATGTATTCATTATTTGAACCGCAGAAATAAAAGCGAGTTATGCAATACTTGACGTTATTTCGCAATAAAAGTGACAAAAGAGATGTGTAACTCGGATACTTTTAAGATTATCTGGTACGCAAAAATGGGACAAGGGAGTATGGCACACAGGACTCAGCATGCAACAATAATATATCGATGAAGTTGTGTAAGCTTGCATGGTAGTATGGAACAGAAAAAGGTTGATGTCATGTAACAACCGAAGAACGGATTGTAACAAAGCAGACTAATGATTAGAACAAATATGATGACTTTCCATACAACGAGTTTCCTGTTTACTAGCAATGGAGAACGAAGCAATTTTTTTGGCTTCCCAATCAATAGAAATAAAGGCAGAAAAAATATTTTCAAACTTGCCGCCTTGCCTGGAAATAGGTAATAAAGCAGTCGAGTTTTCTCTTGCTGTGTCCTGAGCTGAAGAAGGCCCCGCACGTGTCCAGGATGGTAACCACGAGGCGCAGGCGCAGTAGCTGCTCTGGAGGATCAAGCTCCTGCTGCAGCTCCTCGCTGCTAACACCCGCGCCGAAACTGATCAGGCAGTAGAGGACCTGCCAAAAGATGGAACTATTAATGACTGGCGTTGTCCAAATAGATGGAATTATTAATGACTGGCCTTGTCCAAAAAGATGGAACTATTACTGACTGGCGTTGTCCAAATAGATGGAACTATTAATGACTGGCGTTGTCCAAATAGATGGAACTATTAATGACTGGCGTTGTCCAAATAGATGGAACTATTAATGACTGGCGTTGTCCAAAAATGCACGCTAAAGTGTTGTTATATAAATAACGTTGCCACACTCGCGCCGAAACTGATCAGGCAATAAAGGACCTGCCAAAAGATGGAACTATTAATGACTTGCGTTGTCTAAAACACAAGTTAACTTATTGTTTATATGAATAACGTAGACTGGAAGCCTAGATGATCGTGAGGCGTAGCTGAACCGACCACTGAAGGTAGGTGCCAAAAGGTGGCATCGTCTATTAGTTGAACTTTATGTCGACGGAAAATACTGAGTGCTATTGATAACTGAGGACCTCGTAACGAAAGCTAGGGTACTATCGTTAGATTAACGGTTAAGACAACTTCATTATTTTAATGAAGTAAAATGAATGCTTAGTAAAAAGTCTCGTTACAAGACTCATCATATTACGCGTGAGCGGTCTTTCCTTCAACAAGAAATAAACATCAAACTATCCAATTATCCTGAGTATCTTCCAATTGCCCCAGTAGGTTTGAGATTTATTGAAAACAAACCGACTTTCTATTACTTTGTCTGTAAGCGGGAAGGTAGCAACTGACATTGGTCTCCTTTCTTGGTACAAAACAATTCAAACGATGGTGGGAGATTGATTTATTGAGAACTTTCGTAAGGCTTTTCAACATTTTAATGGGCACAACTCATTGAACTACTATCTGCTGGGATTTGAACATAATATAACACCATTATTGCAGCAAAAACTTCAACTCACCTTGAAGATGATGGCACTTTCGATGACCTTATAGTTGTAAAGTTCAGCGAGGTATTTGGCTGAAGCAATTCTGTGCTGGTTGAGACTAGGCCTGTTGCTTTCAAGACCAATTCTGATGTCCTCCATCACGTTGTCTACGACCGCAGGAGCTATCCAGTCCTTTCAATTAGAATAAAAGGATAAAATAGCACGTCAATGTCTTTCACAACAATTGTCATCTAATATTACTGGTTGGATGATTCAGGTTCAAAGCTTATCGGAACCTAGTGAGCTAATCAGGCTCTCGAACTGGTTGAATTATTTTGTACATATACTGTAGCAGATTTCTAAAGCAAAAGATGTAGTAGATTCGTTCCACAATGATTACAAAGAAAAATCTTCACGTGCTATGAGTGAAAGTGAAGGAAATAGCCTTCATTTGATATCTAGAATTATATTCTTGGGTGAGAAATTGTAACCCAAAACCTTCACATAGAGTGCATGAAGAACAAACTATTCACAAGTATACCGAAATGCTAGCACCTACAAAATTAAATAAAATCATCTTTAGTGAACCTCGATGGGAGATTGAAACCTGACCAGCTCATGCTCAGCAGCATCTACATACACAGGAGTAGACTCATTTCAGTGGCTCTCAAACTGTTCAGTCTTCCTACCAAACTTATTCTGCCAAATTTATTCATTTATTCCAAATTTATTCTATTTTTTTTTTTTGAACATAGCACCTACAATTTTTTTTCGCTTTTCAATGCATGGCCAAATTGAAGCACAATAGCCATAACTTTTTTTGTTGCCCCTCGCCTCATCACACCGAACAAATTCATTAATTGCAATCAATTTGAGAGTCACAGTCTTAGTTGATACAGACGATACAACAGCAGGTAAGCTTATTATATAAACTTATTCATATGAAATGATCAATATGACTTACTAATAAAATGAATTATAAGCTACTTATTTATATTACATTGCTTTAATTCATATTCATAGTATTATATTGATGTGACGGACGTGATATAGGACGAGGCCGCTGACGAGGTTAGCGAGGCAGCGTATGTTCAGGAACTTGACTTCCCAGGGAGAAGAGAGGCGGCGCAGGCAATAGTCCGCTGTCTCGCGGTCCTTCCAGTCCAGCTTCCTTAACTGAAAAATATAACTCAGTACTCACTGCAGTAAGTGACAGAGAGAGCATTTTCTCATCGACGAAAACGTGGTCACGGGGACGGACAGACAGAAAGACGGACAGACGGACAGACGGACGGACATGACGAGCACATTAGCGCATTTTTACCATAAATGAGAAAATGCGCTAAAAAGATAAAAATTACCACATAGACTTGACCAAAAATACATAATTAAAGAGAGAGCTCATCGTTTTTTCTGAAGAAATAGCAGTAGTCAGACAGTCCTTACTGCCCAGCTTCTTTAACTGAAAAGAAATGTTAAAATTACCCACTGCACACACATAACCAAATACATAATTTGAAAAAAGAGCTTTTTTACGAGGTACGATAATAATTTAGAAGATGTATAATAAGAAATTTTCCCCTATCAGTAATTTTACGCAGTTTTTATTAGCCCTTTAGCGACCAGCTACCTTGCAAATGCAAAATAATATATATCGCATTCTTACCGCATTGCTGAATTTTAGTCATTGAAAAAAACTGACAAACTCAAACCTCCAACTGGCATAGCATGCAGCCTGAAATTAAAGCCAATATATTTGTCCAATCGCATGAATAAGCTTCAAATGTCAACAAAATGGCGCCCGATATGTACAGCTAGACGCAAGAGGGTTAACCCTCATAAAACTGCATAATTTTTCAACGTTACCGGGTATGCGTGCAGTTGTACCTCTGTTGTTCGGCAAGGGCTAAAAGTCTGAGAGCGTATTATTTTTACCATAAGAAAAATCATAATTCAGATGATTTATAACAGGAATTTTTACCATTTCAGTAATTTTGCGGTGTTTCGTCGGACAAAAAGCACAGTCTCGAAATAGAGAAGTGTAAGGTATATCACCTAAGGATAGGACTCTCTCACCAGTCGAAGAACTTTCTCAACCGAGGACTTGTTGAGACGCTCGATGATGAGGTGCTTAATGTACTGCTGCATGGGCGGCAGGGGCGCCACCGCCGCCAGTTGACTGCGCTCCGGCGGGTTCACGTAGTAATACGCGTTGGTGATCATCGTATCGTATCTGTCAACACAAAGCGCTACACTGAAACTTATTTCAAAAACTTCATTTCAATTTGAGTATGAAATTCTTCACTCCAAAAAGTGTAATGAAGCAATCATTGATGAAGATTTCAAACAAAGTTTAGATAAAGTTAAGCAAAATACAACTAAAAATATTAAGTGGAAAGAAAGCCCACTTCATTATGATACTACCACTATGGAAAAATGTTTAGGAAGCTAGGCTATAAAGTTTAATAAAAATGGCTAGAGCGTTGAAGGAAGCAAGAAAGAAGCTTTGCTTAGCATTTTAGAGAGACGGAAAACTAAAAAGTTAATGGCAACAGGAAAGGAAATATCTGTGCAGCATGTCGCTTGTACGAGATAGTGGCGGACAGCACGACAACGAAGAAGAGAAGCTCAAGGCATCTTAACACAACAAATCATCCCGCAAATAACCAGCTAAAAAAACGACTTAATCCCACAACTGAGACGGATACCGCGAGCTCGGGGTAAGGAGGTGAGGAACAGTCGTTAAAATTAAGATCAGGATTGAATTTTTGCAAAAAACTTCAATTCAAGAAATTTGTAGATATACCTATAAAAACTGACCGTAGATGTTTTTTTTTTGTCGATAGAAGACAGAAAGACAAATGTCTTTCCCCAAACGACCAATGAAGTCACAGAACAATGAACAAATGAAATTTCTTATAAAAAATTTTGCCACAGTTTTTAAATCAAGCTACAGATAATAATGGGTAAAAGCAAGGATGTATAATAATGTTACCGAGGCTCAAATGAGAGTGCAGTCTTTTTCCGCATCATCTGTTCGAGCAGAACTTTGGTGCGGTGGTGCGTGGCAGGAGTTCTGGAGAAGAGGCGAGTTAAACAACAGTCATTTTACCAAAAATCATATCATTTCATTTCTCCTTTTATAATCCATATTATTGCCGTAAATTTACGAAAAAAATAAGTTTCATGCCATAATTTTTCCGCGACTAAATTATTCTCGTCTATAATACCTCAATTCCCGAATTAAATTAGGTGATAAATTTAAAAACAATACTCGTTTTAATGAATGACAAATTAATGAAAAAAAAACAAGAACTATGTACGCTCTTCTATGGGTAACAAAAGGTTATTTACTACAAGACAGGTATTCCTAAACTTTCTACATTTATTATCTATGAAAATACCGGGTGTAACTCTTCAGGTGTAACTCAACCTCGTTTGAGGAACATGGACTTGAGGCCGTAACTCGCCAAAAAAGGCCACAATTCACCTAAAGAACGTTATAACTCACCCGAAAAAGACCACAAGTAGACCACTCACCGTAGAAAGGCCATAATTAAACAAAAATAAGGTATAACTCATTTTAAAAAAAGGCCATAAATGATGTGACAAAGGTTATCGCTTACCTAAAGAGGTAGCGACCGGCGGTTTCCAGTAGCGCACAGACCATGTCGACATGATGATACTTGAAGTCTGCCAGCAGCACACGCAGACACTGCAGGCCATCAGACGCCGGGAGGATGCCGAACTTCAGCAGCTCGCCAATAAAGCGACACACCTTCAGCTTGCTATCCAAGTTGATTTGGTCCTGTTGTGACAAAGGCGAAAACAAAGTGAAAATGGTGGCCAAAGACACTGAGATAATTCAATCGTTATTGGCAAGAAGAATATTTCTTTAATAGGCTTCTGATGACATGAACCAGAAAATGAGAATCCAAATAATATCCAATGAAATTAAGCAGGAAAGCCTGCTCCTTTTGAATTAATCCACCCTTGTTAAAAAAACACAAACGAACTTCATTTTTGTTACAAATTTCACAACTAAAAGCCTCCATTTTATGAGCGAATTACCAGCTGTACTGTCAATACTGTAATTGAATGGAAATTACCTTCTTCCCGAGCTGGTACCTGTTTACGATGTCAGCATTGCAATTGCATGACTTCGAAACGTTTACTTTTATTATGATATGGTGAATGTTACATTCCTCGTTTTTTAATTACTTGTTAACTGCATGGAAATTACCTTTTTCCTGAGCTGGTATCTGAAGTCCATCTTGAGTCTCTCTATGAGATCGTGGGCCAGGTCCGGCATGAGCGGCTTAAGGGCGGCCACAAGACGGCCGTAGAACGGCAGCAAATCCTGACGGTGACGCGGTACCAGAAACAAAGCCCTGCCACGAACCAGGGGAACACATGGAAATGTTCGTAACTATTCGTAACTCTATGCATTTTGTAAGAGAAACATAAAGATATAAGCTGGCTACAAGAAATGTACACTTAAATAATATAATCAATCAGCATTATGCAGTAAGTGAGTAAAAATAAAGTGGAGGAAATAATCTAATCCATTGGAAATTATTTGGAATAAGCAACCTTTTCATTTGGTACCTCGACATTGAGTATAAAAATACGTAGAGGATAAAGTTTCAGTAATAAAACTTAACTCTTACAAGATCAATTCCGTCCGTTTAATTTCTGAATATTATTCAGCTCTCCTTAGAAAAAGTCAAAAGCTCAAAAAGCTTAGCTCTAGTGAAAACAAGACCAACAAATTAGATCCCGGTGCTGGCAGTTACCTGGCCAGTTTTCTCCTTAGAGGTTTCGTGTTGAACTGAAGGCAAAATTCTAAAGCGAGGTTATCAATAAGCTCTCTGTTGATACACTTGGGCAAGGTGTTCAGGAAGTCTTGGAAGAGCAATCTCTGGGAGGCCGCCTTGTTCGAAATTGTCCCACCTGGGAATAATGCATTTATAGATTCTGGAAAAAAATATCTGCATCAATCTCTTCTCAATAATCAGATGGCATCTATAACTAAATATTGCGATGCAGATGCTAATAAACATATAAAGAATTTAGTTTTAATCTTGAAAGACATTAGTGCTGAAAAAAAAAATATAACTCAGTACTCACTGCAGTGAGTGACAGAGAGCGCATTTTCTCGTCAACGAAAACGTGAAGTCACGGACGGACAGATGGACGGGCAGACGGACATGGCGAGCACAATAGTGCACTTTTTTCATAAATGAGAAAATGCGCTAAAAAGGGCAAAATCCTAGACTTGGGTAGAAAAGCGGAAATTGGTTTAGTGTTCAGACAAATAACACAATATGATAATTATGCGTGAGGTGCACCTTTCTCGTCGTTTTCATTTTCATTTTTCTCCTCTTCTTCTTCTTTCTCAGCAGCTTCGCTGGCATCAACCACTTCTTCTTCTTCAGTATCCAAGAGTTCATCCTCGTCGCCAAGCTTCTCAGCGTCTTTATGGCTCTCATCGCTTGGCGGCTGATCGACAAAATTCTTTGTTAAAATAGAGGGAAATGATTTTTTCAACAAAGTTTTTGTGAAGTTAAGTGAAAAGAATTATTCAACAAAAGTTTTTGTTAAATTGAGGGAAAAGATTTATTCAACAAAAGTCTTTGTTAAGTTGAGTGAAAAGATTCATTCAACAAAAGTCTTTGTTATGGCTGAGTGACAAGATCTATTCAACGACGGTCTTTGCTACTGTTGAGTGAAAAGACAGTTACAATTTGATGACAAGATTTCCTCGGTTTATGTGGTTGCAAAAATTGAGTGAACAGATTTATTTAGCCAAAATATTACTTTCAGTTGAGCGATAAGATTTATTTAACAAAAGTCTTTCTTACAACTGATTAAAAAAAATGTTTTCAACTAAGTCGCGAAAATAATCTGCAATAAAATTCACGCAAATACGAAAATACTTCGCGAAGTCGCAGAGAAACTACTCATCAGTTACAACGGCTGGGTTTAACAATCCCGATAAATTTAACTTCAGGTTACATTGGAGGTCATTTGGAGTGTCCGTTCGCTTTGGGGAACGCGGTCAACATACGGTCGCCACAATATAGAAAATTATTGAAACATTCAACTATAAAGTTTAATAATAAATGGTGTACTTTTTCAGACAATAGGATAAATTGAAAGCTTAATTAAAACCCTAAGACACCTTATATCGAGTGCACGGCATAAGGCCAATATCACTATCGTTCTCAGTAAATGTTTCAGACGTAGCAGTTTCAGGACTCACGCTTGAAAATCGCGTCAGCAATTCCGTCGTTCTCACCGCCGGCAGTCGAATAAAACATTCAACAATTCGACTAATAAAACAATAATAAAAATAATACAATAACAATAATACTATAATAACACGAAATTACCTGTGTTTTCTCCGACTCTGCATAGAGAATGGATGGCAGGAGGGCCTTAAGCTCAGGCAGGCTGGTGTAGAAGGCCTTGTCATCTTCATCCTCCCAGACGTGGCCGACGTTTACAGCTGCCGCGCTGCCTATTGTGCCGCCCTCGTCCAGCACAAGCCCGCCTTCTTCCTCATCCCGACCTGCAGAATAATCTTAATCGTCAAGGTCAACCATTAACCTGCAAGTCTTAGACTCTTAGTATAATATCTATTATAATAATAATAATAGTACATTTAAATTGTAATCATAAGCTGACCATCTTTAGGAAGTTGTGGTAAGTTGTGGGAGCTGCTCCTGAAGATAGTCGGCCATTGCGGCGGCATGCTGCTGCAGCTTCTCCAGCACCGCCACCTCCGTGGCCACCGCCGCCATACGCGCCTCCTCCACCTCGCCACGCGTCTCCAGCAGCCGTCTGTTGTGGCGCTCCTCGCGCTGGATCAACTGTCGCCACATAAACTTCATTACAAAATATTCGCCACAATAATAAACTAACTTAATAATAAACTTCATGACAAAATATTCGCAAAATAATAAACTAACTTGATAATAATAAACTTCATTACAAAATATTCGCCACAATCGTGCTATAATAAACTAGGGATATGTATATGATTTTGTGACCTAGTGACATAAATAGGTTTTCGGTGAACTAGGGACATATAAATGAATGACAAATACTATAATTTACACGGGGAGGAAGATATTATATCATTGTCACATTAGGTGAGCAAACAAAAATAAATGCCTTAAATTTAATCGAAATTTTAAACAAAAAATGTCCGTAGACAAACTATACGCAGTCAAAAATGTTTGAAGTTTGCCCCAGTGTAAGTACGTTTCCTGCGAGGGTAAGGATTAGGGGAAGGGTTGGGAGCTGTAGAAAAGTGTTGGTAAAAATGGGTGAAAGGACGGAAAAGGGAGGAAAAAAGGGTAGGTAAACGGGTGTGATAAAGGGTTGGTGCCAGAGAGGAGTGAAGAGCTGGTCTAAGAAGGGGAAAAGGATTACAAAAAATAGTGAAGGAAGGAGTCGGGGAAAAGCATGGGTGAAAGGGTGAATTCGAGAGTTGGTTAGCTGAAGAAAATAGACACAGGGACCAGCACAAGACTAGGCTCACCTTATACTGGAGTACGACGTGCTGGGAGAGCGACATGTAGTAGTCACGCATGAGCTGCCGCACGTTCTTCTGTCGGTCGGTAGAGAGGAAGTTGCTGCGCGGGACCTCCTCCTGCGAGGTCAACAAGTGCTATAAGAATTGCACCCACAACAATGACCATGAGAAATTAGCAAACAAAATTATGTATCAATATCGACATCATCAGTTAAAAGAGTGAGATGCTTATAGCAGCATAAACTGTGCATCAAGTATAATAAGTTTCTCAGCCACGGCTGATCAAGCAGAGGCAACACTTCCCTTGCCTCTTTTATTAAAATATTAACATCATAACTTAAGTGACATAAGACACTTATTGTAGAACGATAAATCAGGTATCTTGTATAATAAGTATCAGAGTCCCGGCGTACCTAGCAGTGGCAGCCCTTCCATTGCCCCTTTTAATAAAATATAAGCATTATTAGTTAATTGACACATAATACTTATTGTAGTAGGATAAATGGGGGTTTTTAGTATAATAAGTATCCGAGTCCCGGCAGACCTAGCAGAGGCAGCACTTCCATTGCACCTTCTAGTAAAATATTAACGTCATTACTTGAGTGACATAAGATTCTTATTGTAGAACGATAAATCAGGTTTCTTGTATAATAAGTACTATCAGAGTCCCGGCTGACCTAGCAGAGGCAACACTTCCCTTGCCCCTTTTAGTAAAATATTAAGAATTTCATGTAAATAACATAAAATTCATATTGTTTCATATTATAGAACGATAAATCAGGTTTCCAAGTATAATAAGTATCAGAGTATCATGTAAATGACATAAGATACTCATTGTAGAACGATAAATCGTGTTTCTAGTATAATAAGTATCAGAGTCCCAGCTGACCTAGCAGCGGCAGGCCCTCCTTCTGCGAGAACACGGCGACGGCGGTGAGCTCAGCGAAGAAGCGGAGGTCCACGCGCAGCTTGCTCAGGTTGCTCACCTGTAAAACATACAAATAACATAGAATTTTTTACCGTTGTTAAGATTTCAAGTGTTTGAGATTGTGTTTATAAGATTGCATTACCGTGCGTGTTTTTCATAATGCACGAATCTCACCCTAATTTTTATGAAAAGCGAAACATGAAAGCAACCTGGACAAGAGTGTTTTTAAGAATGCAAGGATAACACTTAAATTTTAAATTGAAATTAATTAATTAAAAAATTGAAGGTAAGAAAGAAAAGGTGCACTAACAATACAATGCTATAATACAAGGCATATGAATATAATGCAATTTTAGACAGAACAAAAATATAAATAAGAGGCATGCCCCGTCCCTATCAAATATGCAAATTATTCACAATCTTGGATACATGGAATTGATGTCTTGAAAGGATGCAGTTTATATAACAGTAAATGTTATGTGTCGAGGAGAATAATCATTACTATTTGAACTTAGACAGGTTCCAAAAACTACCACATTCGATTAACTTCTTCATTTGAATTATCTCCGTGATTGCGATATGTTCATGAACATTTCCTTGCGTATGCCCATTTCCTTGTTTATCGCGGTAGTAACTTTCGTTCTTGTGATGTCAGATAAGTAAAACCTATATACTAGCTCTGCTCCAAACCAGTAGATTCAGTCAGGACGAAGAATGGTTAGAGGATATGTCTGACTCGCCCTATTAAAATATATTCTATCTATATTCCCATAAACTGTAAGCCGTATATACTATACAAATGATACTGGATCAATCCTCACGCTATGCCTCGTTAATCCTCGGTATCACTTCACGTACCGAACTCACCTTCAGGGTATACTTAAATATTGCATAATCGAATGTGAGGGTAGCGAGAGAAAACTTTGCCCTTATGTTGAAAAGTATGAAAAAAATATGGAGTAATTTATTCATCTTTCACTAACAAAATTGATACCGTATGCTCACTAAGCTACAATGACAATGACTCAATTAAAAAAGTACTGTTCTCTTTAAAATTACTCAATCCATACAAGAAAAATTTTCTCTCACTATACCGGCAAAAGGTCTATCGAAGAAGTGGTCAACTAGGCAGCTTCTTATCCTTGGTTTATTATACGTCATTTCAGAAAAAAGTACAAAATTTATTCAATTAAATTGCAAAATAATATATTAATCTGTCATGGGTAGGCAGCAAGTTTGCTTCCCTAATAAACAACATGTCAAACAAATTTGAAGTGTGACAACAAGCGTTCTCCTTCAGTAAAAATTTTGTCGAATAAACTTGAAGTGTGTCGTTAAATTTGCTGTTCTCGTAAACATGGTGTCAAGCAAACGTACAGTGATAATCTCACCTTCTCATTAGGCTTTTCTTTCAGAACTTTAGAGAAGCCAGATAAGAGAGCCGGTGAGAATTCAGCGTATCGCTGGTGCAGCGCAGAACACAGCAGCACACACGCGTGCACATCAGTCATCTTAAGTCGGCACTCGAGTAACGCGTTCGCCGCCTCGCCGATATAGCGGGACAAGTTCAGTGAGAGAGCTTCCTTGCTCAGGCTCTGGTACTGAGACTCGGTGAAGTTACGCTGTAAACCAAGTGAAAATGGCATTAATGAAGAATATTTGTGTGCTCCATGCCTCCAAGACTCTGTGAAGCTGCATACCAAGTGAAAATGGCATTAATGAAGAACCAATGCTTGCAATTGACTAGATGAGTCAATAATCGGAAACGCGGTCCGTGTCATTAATTAAGTTATACCCATAGTAAATAAAACGTTTAAATTTCCCAATAATGTGCGGAGGAAAGAATATTTTATGGGTCGCGCACTCAAGCGAAATGCCCTCGGTATCTTCGATGTAGACGTCTGGCGATAAGATGTAGTATAAGTATGCTTACCCCCCCTTTTTACAGTTTATCTTGTAGAATTCAACCCTTCACTTCATTCAGCCCTCTTATTGAGCTTCAGAAAATAATCTACATCTTATAACAAAATAAATCTTTTCTAATAGCGTTGTTAAATGGAGCTTCTCAACAAAATTTTAATGAATTCCACTAAAATGAAATATGTTCCACTCACAAGTTTCTTGATGAATGCGGTGTTTTTCTTGAGACTGGAGTCAAGCTTGCCGGTTGGTAGCTCAGAGCGCTCCTTAGCAGCAGCGGAGTTTGTGGCGCGAAGTTCTGCCTTCTCCTGCAGACGCGTTGCCGCCTCCGCGATGTAGCACCGCAAAAACGCCTGACAAAAATGCAAATTTGTTTCAAAGTTACCAGCTTTTGCCTCTTCATTGACAAATAACTAAGGAAAGAGTAAACGTTTAGCGTCAAATGAAAAATAAGCAAGTGCGGAGAATATGGTGACATGTTTTGTCAGGTGCTGTGGTTGAGTTTCAATTTCAAGCCATTATTATTGTTACATTCCAAGATATTATGATTATTATTTCACTTCAAGATATTCTAATTATTATTTCATTTGATATTATTTGAAAACTCTCTGCAAACACAAGTGCATTGTTTAAGCAGCCGATAAAAAAAATCGCGTTGTCAATTCCATTCGTACATAAAATCTGGTAAAGAAATTCATGGCACAAAAAAAAAAAAGAAATTCATGACGTTATGGCGGTAAAATGGCAAATCATTCATCTACGTTGTGTCTACATGAAACAATTCATCCGATTTAGAGTTGCTTATTCATTGATGATTATATTAATATATAAAGTGGGACGTAGTTTCAAGTATAGTAGGGTGAGGGGCGCGTAAATCATCACAAAACAAGTTAAGTGAAAATTAACATTAACGAATAAAACTCAATGACAAGAACGAGCATTGTTCTTATTTCCTTTAACTTGTTAGCGACGCTCAATGAAATGTAGCTGCGATCAAGAAATGAGTATCATTGAATCATACATTAAATCAACTTCCACATTCACTGTTGATTGAAACATCGGTGATTCAATGGAGGTAACGCAATGTTGAATCACTTACCCGATCTTCTTCCAGTTCAGCTGCATTGGCATCAGTTCCTTCCACTTCCAGACGATCTTTTACAGTTTCGGTTACTTCGTCAACACACGAGATCTCCATTGGCCTGACAGTCTCGAGAATTAACTGATCAATTACTCCATAAGCTGCATTAGAGTCACCGCCAGCATTTGCATCTGGTGAGGGAACGCTAATATCTTCGTATGTTGTAATAATTGATTCATCTTCTTCTCTTACCGTAGCGTCTTCTTCGTTCATAGTATTTGTTTCCTCATCATTGGCAATACTCTCATCTAGAACTGTGGAGGGATCGGTAAAATCTTCGCTTGCTGTCTTCGTTGCCTCATTAACAACAATCAGATCTAGGTCAGATTTGTGCTCAGAAACCTTATCTTTGTTTGTGGTAATAGTTGTCTCATTATTAACAATATTGGGATCTATATCATCAGGTGAGGAAATATCTCTTATGGTATCCGTCCCATCCTCTTTATCAATACTTGAATCTATAATTGACGATGGAACAGCAACTTCTTCATCTTCTTTTACGCTATTTGTCGTCTCATTATTATAAATATTTGAATCTAGATCAGATGTGGGATCAGTAACATGTATTAGGGAATTCGTAGCATCGTCTGTACAAATCGTCTTATCTCTATCAGGCGTAGGATCAGTAACATCTTCGTCAGCAACATCGGCGGCCTTACCTTCATCAACATTAAGAAGAAGGTTTTGTACGTGATAATTATCGTCCAAATCATAATTTTCTTTATCGGTATTAGTGGTCGTCTTTTCAGTAGCAACATTCGTTTCACGATCTGTACTGAGACCATCGTCATCATTCAAGGCTGGGGATGTTTCTTGAGCAACATCCTTCATCTTCTCTGCTGTAGTGCTCATCGAAACATCATCGCTTGAAGTCTTAGAAATATTCTCTACACACATCACATCGCTTTCCTCCAGTGCTAAGTTTTCTTCAATACAGACAACGGCGTCAGGAATTTCAAGAACATCACTCGGTTGATTGCCTGCACTTGAACCTGCCTCGTATACTTTCTCTGATGAAGGCTTTTTGTGTGATAAAATTTTATAGCTTTTTGGTTTTGTAGGTTTCGGGTCTCCAGAATCAGAGCCTTCGGACTGTTCGGGCTTTCTTATCGGCAAGTCCGACACTTTCTTGCACTCACGAGTTGGTGTGTCAGTGCAGTCGCGGTCCTCTTTTTTACTTACACACATCCTGGGCTTCAGGCTTCTTCTTTCCGCGGAGTTTTCTGTAGCTCTTGCCACCTGGTCGTTCTTTGGAGTCCATAACTGCAAGTGATACTAACTTAAGTAATATTTGCTAGATTGTGAATCAAATGGAAGTAAAAACCACTTCCTCTTGACAGGATTCATTATTTAGTTTCTGACGTAGAAACTAGAGCAAACAACGGCGAATATTATAATAACATTAGATGAATTACACTATGTCATTTACGCTAATGAAGCAATCCGATTACTTAGATCAAACCGTCAGTTGAGAATGAAAATCCCATTAAAATGTTTAACCAACGCTAAACAAAACGAACTTTTCATAGCTTATATAGTAAAAAATAACTAATTATTAGTAATGATAATTAGCAATACTCAACAGTAGATCATATTGTCACTCTATACAGGAACGAACATTTGAGATTTTTTAACCTTATTAGCAGCGATTATTTAGTAGTGCATTAAGAAAGAACGCTATCTATATTAATCGACTAGCACATCGACTCACAGGGTTTTAAGATTTTGTATTTTATTTTATCACCAATATGGGAATTATTTCAATTGAAGGTAATTCAATGCGTTAAGTGGACATTTTTGTCCCACCCGAGGTGACAAGGGGCGAGAACATGTCCCATACTGCACTCAAGGAAATAAATGGGACAGTGTCCACATGGCGATGCACTTTTTGCCCATGTGTGGATCATCCTGACCTGGTTTGGCTCAACCAATGGGCGTACCAGTGCTACGTGCAAAAAGCGATTTCGGACAAAATGACCCATCATTTTTTCTGGTAGTGGCATAGGGGGCCGGGGGCACGCCATATCCCCTGAACGTGATGATTTCCCAGGCTTATTTAAAAATTATCTCGGACAAATATCCATAAATTCAGCTTAAGTTCTTCCAAAGCAGGAAAATTTTAATGAAAATGAGTAAATTAATAATTTTCAAATATCCATCAATTCAGCTTAAGTTCTTCCAAAGTAGGAAAATTTTAATGGAAAATGAGTAAAAATTTCTTAATTTAACTGAGCTTTAGCGTAAACTCGAGAAGAATTTATCAGAAATAAGGAAGTAGCCAAGGAAATTATCAACGTTCCCCCCGCGGTGTGGCCATAGAGAAACGAGTTTAAAATGTCATTTATTACAACCAAATTATTTCTATGTAATGCCCGTGTAGTAATTTGAAACAATTCAGAATTAATTCCTTTGAAAATGAATAAATCATTACAAATTTATGTCGAAAAAAGACTAGCTGACGTTACAATGTGGCCAGTAAAACTTTACGACCTCAAAACTAGACGAAAAAAAGAAAATATTTCTAAACTATAATACACTATTTATAAAAACGTTTCCACTTACATCAGGGAATAAGTACAACATTTCCAGTACATTCCCAACAATGGACGACACAAAATGATACCACATGAGACGATGAATATGAAATTTAAAACAATTTTCATCGTTAATGAAAGTCAATAACATCCCCAATATGGCATGAACAACAAAAAGACTACAAATGCAACAGTTTGTACAGTGGTAATGCCTTCATATGAAAAGACGTATTGAAACCTACAAACAACATTTGAGATAGCAACAAAGACAACTTATCCTTTTAATTGACTAAACTTCATGTCGGTGGACACGTTTATTCCATTGAGCCTTAAACACTTACACTATCAATAACGCCATACATGTTGTTGCGAATGCCTATTGTATCAGGAAAATTTTGATGTGACCAAATGTTGGGCAAATGTGATTCGTAAACTTATTAACTAACTTTATAAAGTTCAAAATTTTCTAATAATTTTCAAATGATGTCATGAGATGATGAAATTTATACAAGATTAGGGGCATTGAGCTATCTAGAAGAAGAGAGGCATTTGTCTTGAAGCTGCATACATAATATTACCTTTTTAATCAAAGCAATGTTTGGCAACAGTTTAGCAATTAAGACTCATTTTTGATCCATGACTTGTCATCGCATTAGTTCAGCCAGCGTTCCGTTCTTATAGAGCACCAAAACTAAAAATCCATTCGCCATTACACTCATACCAAGAATGAAAGCAATCCATGGATTCCGCAGCGTGGCGCTGCCATTTGTGAAGATAATACCTCCTTGTTGATCAAGGTTGTTGACGCGTAAAGTTTTCCCGCTGATGAGACTCAGATTATCGTCACTAATGTCGTGTTGGCTGAGACGACTCAAGGCCCGCATGGTGTTCATGTCATCAGCAGGGGATCCAGTTCTCCAGTCTTGGTATGGAGTCATGACTCCTGAAGCAGCGCTCGAGAAAATAGAAGGTCCTACAGTAGCAGAGCTCATCGAGTGAGTATCACTCAAGGGATAGCTGGGGATGGATGAAAGGCGAGCAGCATGCCTGCGTCTCACAGTACCATTGGTGGATGCATGAGATAGGAATTCGGTGTTTTGGGAGCTTTGTGATGACGTCTCACATGCTTCGAAATTCCAGGTAAATGTGGGTTCCGATGCGACCGAAATGCGGTCAGTGTCTTTAAAAGCATTGGCATTCAATGCAGCGCCATGAGCCTCCGCGGATGCATGACTACCGCTTCCATGAGATACAAAACCCGAACTTTGACTTGAAGGCCGCGACGGCGGGACAGGATCAACATTGTTGACAATAACCGGACAGTTGACTGGCGGTTGCCATTGCTTCACAGGCGATCGCTTGTTCTTACTAGGACTTCCCCAATAACCACCAGCAACCCAAGATGCTTGGGCAATGCTGCTAGTGTTATGGGAGAGGCGAGCTTGCTGGGAGCGCAATACCATGCCACTTCTGTTGGGACCTCCACCAAGAACAGGGTTACGAGAAGCGAATGAATTGTCATGGTTTTGACCAGAACCCAGGCTAAGACCTTGCAGAGATGTGTTGAGGTTATCTCCTAAAGCACTTGGTTTCAGGGCAAATTTTGGCTGGGCCAGACTAGAACTTTGATTGAGCGTAGTTCCGGGATTGCATGACAGAGAAGCATAATTCAATGGCTTCTCAGCGGGAATATTAAGGAAAGGGTTATGGGTTTGAGATGAAAAGATGGATGGAGAGAAAGTGTTGTTTGTGGAGACTCTGGCGGCAATGAGAGGCGTGGGATGTAGGGATGCAGGCAACCTGCTGGAGGTGAGCGATGCTGGAGAAGTAGGTGGCGGAGAAGCGACCAGAGGATTACCGAGAACTTCTTGGGAAGTGTTCATGCTATTCTCCGTCAGTTGGCTATCATCTTGAGAACTGAAATACAGTCAGTCAAATAAATACCTATCCAAAATCAAAATAAAAGTGAACATGCAACATCCAAGCAATATAAAACATATAAACAAACGTGCAAAGGAAATTATCACAAATTTATTGCGATAAAATAACCTCACAATAAAAAATTATGCATACAAATTGAAATAACTTGAACAATAATTTACAAATTTGTCCCCATGTTACAATCGATTAAACTTTAAAGCATTTGTTTTAAAGTTGAAAGTATTTTTTCATCAGTACAGAATTGCCTTAGCTAGTCAGATCTGAGATACGTTAGTATATGGCATGAAGCGCTTACTGCACTGCAGCTCTATGAGCCAATACCAGCATTTGTTGCTGTCTGAAAACAAGCTCATATCATATCAAAGTCTGGGACTGCACTATTAAAACTTGCCAAGTACACTAGGCTGCCGATTTTGCGCCTGTGATTGGCGAGTTCAGCTTGAAAAGTCGCCAGTGATTGGTGGACGGAGTTACAAAATACTGAATATTTTGATAGTACGACCCCTGAAGAATAATTACCTCGTCTGTGATTGGTTGATAGTTTAGTTTGAAAAGCCTTCATCAATTAGCTGATGGAATATATGCCTATTTTAATAGTAAAGCTCAACGTCAGAACTATCTTCACCTGTCGAGAACTCGGCATCTGGATGATGTCCTCCGCAAGAACTGAGGAGGCAGAGGTGCCGGTGGGCGGTAGAATCCAGCAGCCACAGCCAACACACAGGCGCCATAAACAATTACCTATTGAATAATTTTCTTGTAATGTATAATATATGTAATATTTATGCAGTGCACAATGTATTTCTAAAAAGCAAATGAGCAAGCAAAACAAGTAAAGGCACACTTTTGAAGGCATACCGGTATAAAAAAATATATACAATAAGAAATGTAACATTAATCAAGTCAAGTAGAGTATTCAATCAAGATGTAATTAGCATGCATTATTTAATCACCTTGAGGAAGACGAGCTGTTGCGTGGAGATGAGCTCAGTGAGCACAGTAAACTGCTGCCAGGAGGCAACAGAGAGAGACAGCGCCAGCATCACGCATGCGACAGCGTCACAGCTCTGCAAAAACCAACCATTATTATTAATGCCTCATTACATTAATTATTATCATTATTATTATTATAATCATTATTGTAACAAAAACAACATTGAAAGATGAAAATTTCCCGAAATTTTAACCCAAAAACACAAAGCAAAATAACTGTGTGGTTATACTAACTAATGAGACTGAAAAACATCAGAAGAAAAATGATCGCACTATAACAAATTTGTTTGTTGCGTGCTAGCACAATTTGAACTGTCCTTGTTATTTATAGTCGACAATGACACAAGCAGTGCACCTATCAATGCTGAACAATTTTTCATCTGTTGTGATTTGGAGGTAAGAAAACTTGCAATAAAAGGAATATAAATTTAACACCAATTTTAGATATTGAATTGCTCGGTAATATGGGATTTTGTTATCTGATGTTGAACTAAAATGAACATATTTACGTTAAACAATTAAATCGAGAAGAAAACGATTTAAATGAAAGAGTGTTTAAAATGAAATGCATGTATGTTTTAGAAAGGCAAAAAATTCAAGTTCAAATCAATTAATGTTGTTGATACTTCAAGTGGAAAATATATATACTATTTGAATTTCAAGTTCTAACTCGTACAATAAATGTAGCCAAATAATAAGCCACTAATTAAGAGGACACGAATCACAACTGCAAGAAGTTACATGAATGTGTGACGCAAACACAAGAAAAAATAGCACAATATCTTCAAATCAAGTATTGATTTCAACAAGCAACTCTTACCAAAACCCCATGGTTGTTGGTACATAGTAGATGTAATCAATCCATTGAAACTTATGGATTTAACAATAATACCTACTTAACAATACAGAATATATGATATCTAACCCTGAGATGCTGCTTGCCGGCAAGGGCTACAGCTGCGAGCTGCAAGGCAAGCAGGAGCAGAGCGGCGCCCGCTTCATGGCCACGCAGGGAGTGCCCCCAGTCACTGCCAGCCGTCAGCACGTATGACATCTGAAACTACACTCAATTCTAAGTCAATACGATAAAAATGGTTATTCACTGAATTATTATTCATAACACTGAATTATTATTCATAACACTGAATTATTATTCATATACATATTCTGATGAGTTTTGTTTGTGACATCAGTAACTCAACATTCAGTGATACAAAGTGCTTTAAATTCAAATATATAGGGTAGGTATATTCTAACATATAATATAGGTAATATATACGTACGTAATATATAGGTATATTTAATGAAAACAAATTTATTGTAGTTCAAGCAGGAGCAGAGCAGCGCTTGCTTCATGGCCACGCAGGGAGTGCCCCCAGTCACCGCCAGCCGTTAGCACGTATGACATCTGGAATGACACTCAATTCTGAGTCAATACGATAAAAATTATTATTCACTATATTATTCATAACACTGAATTATTTCATATACACATTGTGATGAGTTTCAGTTGTGGCATCAGTAAGTCAACATTCAGTGATACAAAGTGCTTTAAATTTAAATATATAGGGTAGGTATATTCTAATATATAGGTATATATAGGTAATATATAGGTATATATAATGAAAACAAATTTATTGCGGTCACCTGAAGTATATAGAATCTAGATTAAAGATTGATTCTCTCCATTAAAGATTAATTCCATGACAAAAACAGTGGTACTAATCAAAGATCATAAATAACACCATGGTAAATGGATGCCTATCCATGTATAATAAGAGAGGTACACAATTAATATGGGCATAAAATTTCCTTTGAAATATATCATTTTTAATTCAAGTCGAAAATTATATACCTTGATGCCATAAAAATAGTGAAATGATAGGCAACCCACCAGATCCAGAGGAGCATCCTGTTCAACACTTGCATCAGATGAATTTATTAAGGATTCAACATTGTGGTTTTTGGGCTGTGAGGATGTATCATTTGTCAGGTCACTTGATAAATGAACAATGCTGCTCAACTCAAAGAGCAGAAGAGATGTAGCTAGCATGAAGCACAAGGTGCGTAGCAACAAAGTGATGCAGCGCAGCGGCCAGGACATCCTACCATGCATAGGAGTCTGAAAGACAGATACAAATTATTCCCATGTCCCTCAAGTATAAAAGTTGATAAGCGACAGACCAAAAGAATATCATTCAATAAAATAAGTGTATTCAGCAATAAATTTGCCAAAATAAATTAAATTATTAGTTTCTAATCTGCCAAAATTAACCATGGTAGATACAAATCATAGGGCAGTATTAATGCAAGAAAATGCACTCAATTGAGCATTAACAGAACTTTGAGCCTTAAGGGTTCTCACCAGAAGAGCCTTCAATAGCGTAGTTGATTGCTGCATCCTCCAGTTGAGAAGCTTAGGCTTAAGCCATGTATCCTGCTCCATGAGAGCGCAGCTCAGAGTCTTGTTGCAGTGCGAACAAAGCCCTCCATAAAGCCGCTCCAGACGACGTCTGTTGTTGTAAAGTTACAAGTCATTTGCAAAATTTATTGCAAGGGATTGTGAATATTAATAATTTCGTTCAGTGGACTTGTTGTTTTGACAAACAATATGCTAGACTAAATAAAGTTAAAAAATCTGATCACTTGTTATGAAATTTAATATTAATGTAATTATCCACAAGAAGGAAAGCTCACCAAAATCTTTAAATGGGAATTACGTACATGAAAGAATTCTTGGAGGAATAATTTGAGATCAAATTTAAATAAATGAAATACCGGCATGAAATTTTGTATACATAGTACAGTATGTTCAAACTACAAAAATGCAACTATATGAAAACTAATGCTGTGGTACTGGACTCACTCATAAACATCTACTTCTTCATCAAATTTATCAGGATGAGAAGGAACAAAGTCTGCCAGTGCCTTCACTTTCATGGCTTGATAAAGGTTACATGTCTGGCATAAGCCATTGCCCAGTGACAGCCCAGGTGTGCTTGAAGGAGGTTGTTTGACTCTGGCTCGTGTGGGAGGAGAGTTGAGGGACTCGCAGTACTGGGATGGCATATCACAGTTGTAGTCTCCATCCTGTACATTTATTCAAAACACATTATATATATACATTTGTACAAAATATTCATTTGATACTACATTCAGAAGACATTATGCAAGAACATTTTTGTAGTACAAAATATTCATTATATGTGTGAGCTACGGTACTGTTCAAGCTTACATTAATATTGTAAAAGTTGATATGATTCAGATTTTCTTGATTTTTATTTTATGCATATGAGTCGTTTTTGAAGCCAAAAAACTTGCAAGGAAATGTTAGACTTGGCTATCAAAACATTCTAACACAAAACATGGAAATGGATAATAATTCACTCTGGTAAAAACATTTTTGATCAATAATAGCTATTGACTGATATACAACTTTTTAATAAGGAGCAGCTATCTGAAAAACTTACTTTGAGGTAATAGAAAGAATTGTTCATCATGAATTTTTTTTAGGTATTCAACTTGTATTCATTCAAAGTTATAAATTAAAATTTCCAGTAATTGCATAGTGGCAAAGAAGTGAGTTTTTTAGACAATTCATTAAGTTCAATTTTGAGTCCTATAAGTAGACCAGCAAAGTATCATGGATACCATCATTATCATAAACAAGATATTGATTTTACATCTTGAGTAAATGAGGAAATTATAGAAATGAATAAATTCGAAAAAAAATCTGGTTTTCCACTATTTCCAGAAAGACACCTTTAATAGCTATGTATAGCAAACAAAGCCAGGCAAAACCTGATGTCATGTCAGTTGTTTACGTTTACATATAACCTTACATCAACAAATTAATTTTAATTTTATATTTGCATAGTTTTTATAAGCCAGTAGGTGGTGCATGGCACATAATATAAATAAGCATGGCTTTCTGCATGATAAAAATAAGTTATTAAGAAGTGTATTTTTAAGTGATGACTTTTAATTGAGGCAGTGGAATACCGTAGTCATCATAATTACCTCAGTAAACCCATTGTATTGTTTACAATTGGGGCAGACAAAACTGTTTTTGGATTTGAAGGGGACTTTGGTATCAGTATTGCAGAACCAGCAGTTCACTTGCACAGGGAAGAATGGCCTGCAAAAGAATAATCATAAAAAATCAATTTTGAACAACATCATATATATATATATATACAGGGGTTGGACAAATTAAGGATGATGCACAATACTTTGATACAGTAATATTTTCTTATAAACAATCAAAATGTGACAATATTTTAATGTTTTATTGTTTATTATTGATGCTAATTAGTATTTTATGATTGCATAGATAACTTTAGCAAATTTTTGAGTCTATAAGCTAACAAATAACCTATAAATGGCAAACCTCAGACTTTCAAAAGAGGCCAAATTATTGGTCCCAATATCATGGCAGGTGCTAGCATGACAGAAACTTCCACGATGCTTGACGTTTCTAGAGGTATGTCTTAAAAGTAATGACTGCTTTTGAATGAGAAGGTAAAATGTCTTTGGCAGAGTACAGGTGTGGCCAAAAGTCAAAGTTGCCAGAGAGAAAGCAATGGTACCTAAATCAAATTGTGAGGTATAATCAAAAAACCACGGCTCTTAACATTAATGCCCATTAACATTACTTAACCCAGTTTCCATAAGGACTGTCTATTAAGAGCTGCACAGATCTGGATTCTATGGAAGTTACAATTAGAAAACCTCAGGTCTTAAATACAAATGCTTCAAATTAATTAGGAGTGGTGTAAAAACCTCCAGAATTGGTCCCCTGAGCAGTGGAAAAATGTGATTTTCTCTGACTAATAACCATTCAACTTGTTTCCCTCTGGCTAAGCTTATGTTTGGAGACAACCAAAAGAGTCATTTAATCCCAACTGCCTCCTCCCAACTGTAAAACATGGCAGGCAACCTGTGATCTGGGGTACTATTTCTTGGAAATCTGTCAGACCAATGATTTATCTTCATGGAAGAATCAAAAGCCATGAATACTTAGGAATTTGGGAGGACTAAGTTCATCTAATGGTTCAAGCACTGTTTTCAGAGGGAACACTACTTTTCAAGATGATAATGCCCCCAATCCATACAGCAGCAATTGTTTACAAAAATTGAACATTCTAACAACTTTGAGCTTCTCATTTGGCCATCACAATCACCAAGCCTGAAGCCATTTATGGTTGATTTTAGTGATGCAAGTCAGAAGTAGATTCCTACTGCCATCTTCTTTAAAAGAGAAAGTTTTACCCAAAGAATGGATTAAAATTCCTTTGGAAGCAATTTACAGTTTGTATGAATCAATGCCTTGGAAAATTGGGGCTGTAATTGCCACATACTAAAATATATTTTGAAGATTTTTCAGTCATTTCCTTCATTTTGTCTAACCCCTTTACATATGATGAACATTCATGAATCTAAATCAAAATTAATTGATCAAGTAAGTCAGTGATTCAGGGAATAAATGTATTATAAACTTTATAGTATTTCCCACATTTCAAAACATGAACGATTACAATTGTACAATGGTTAGTAATGTCATAACATGAATTCTGCAGGATTTAGAAAAATCCTTCAATAAGCTCACTTTAAATTATCTTACCTTAACTTGATATAAGCAAAAGATGACCCAGCTAAGATGCAAGATCCTCCAACAATAGGAAGCAGGTAATCCATCATATCATGAAATCTTTACAATTATAATAGAGTCTGACTTTCTTAAACTTTTAAGAAATGCAAATGAAAATATTTTTGAACTTCAATTGTCATTAAAACATTTCCAAAAAGAATTCTGAAGGGGTAAGGAAAAAATTATTCAAATGTGTTATTTCTATATTTTGGGCTAATTAGCCTATTATTATTATTATACTACAAAGCATTTATTGTGGTATATGGTTCAAATGAACTTCAAGGGAACATCACACACAAGATTAATAGCAAGCAAAAAATAGATAGACTGAAGTCTGATTAGTGAAGAGAGGATGGATAAAATGACTAAGCACTAGATTCATATGCTCCACAAAATTGATTTGTTTTCAGGTGTCAATAAAACATCTGCAACAAACAAGCTAAAGTTACAGAAGCCGGCAGCCTGTACCAGGTTTTGGCGGCATAGTGACAAACCAGAGATTTTTTATAATTGGTTCATTTTTAACCTCATTTACTCAAGATCAGGGCTGGAAAAGTCCTATTTTTGTCTGAAATATTGCAGCTCTAATATCATAAATTTTTGTTCCATTGAAAAATCGCGGTTTGCACTTTGCAAACATGTCATTTCATAAATTTCCAACTGGCGCAATCCGCATTGCTTTACCGTTCCTGCCAAAATATCTTGCAGAAAAAACATAAACATCGTAATGTAAACAAATCAACCAGGTAAACGTTTTGTTGAAGATCGCGCATAGTTGCGGTCATGTCAAAGCGGTCAGACTGCATTAACGTGTGCAGAACTACAGTAGACACAAATTAATTGTTGCCGTTTGACTGTTTAAGGGTAAAATTAGAGATTTGGGGTAACACGTGCATGGACTTTGTAAATAAATTCGCACCTCGTAAATGGCTTTTCATGGCCAAGATATGGAACTCACGGCTCGGTGAAATGGAATTACGGCTCGTAGAAATGGAATCACGGCTGGCAAATCCATAAAATCACGGCTCTCAATCTAAAAAACACCATTTGGTAGTTAGGATATTCAAAATTTCGTTCAAATCTGTTCGGTAGTTTGGAAGAAATTTTTTGATCACAGCGAATTTTGGCCTGTATCGCAAGAAGGTGATATTTCAAAAAATTTCGCAAGCTAAACGTCACCGTTAAATTCTGATGAATACATGTTCCAAGTTTTATTGAGCTGCGTTCATTAGTTTGGGTGATATTCCTTGATAACTGAATTTGGAGATTGGTCGTGAGACCGGCCACGAGTCCGGCCAATAAGTTTGCCCGAGAAGTCCTAGGTTTCTGGAGCTGAAACGGTTAAAACAGTTGAAAAACACGTTGGTTCACTAAAAGGGGTCCTATTTGTGAAATACACATTTGTGTTTAACCTTTATCTTTTAAAATTACAGCGAACTAAATTTTATAGTAAGAGGCGCATGATTTTGTATGTGTCTATGGGGGGGCGCTAGAAATTCACTAGGGAGCCAAAGGGGGCGCCAGCCTGAAAAAGTTTGGGAACCACTGCACTAGATTCATAGGTTCTACAAAATTGATTTGTCTTCAGGTGTCAATAAACACCTGCAACAATCAAGCTAAAGTTACAGAAGCCGGCAGGATTAGAATTTTCCTACTTGTTTTTGAAATCTCGCAGCTTCAATGTGACGAATTTTTTATACATTTGGAATCTTGCAGCCTGATCATGCATTTTTGTTAACAATTATACAAGAGGTAAGTCATCTGGCAGAAATCTCACAGTTCCGGAAATGGCAGGAAAGCTCTAGTCACAGGGCCTCACGGCCCTATGGTTAGAAGTTTTCCATGCTTGGAAGCTGGCAGTCTGTTTCTGGTTCTGGTGGCAGCAACCAGGAACACTTTTGCCAACAGTAGGGGTAGAAAGGTAGGGTAAATATGGTATATTCTGACACTTTGAAGACATAGCAAAAAATGAATGGCTATAAAAAAATCACCATACGCGCAACTCGAGTTCCATTTGCTTTACGTCACTCTCAAAACACCGCACTATACGCCAGCAACAATGAAACGTCACAAAATGTTGCCATATTTATTTAAAAGCCTTTAGAATGCAAACCTACCAAATCCATATATTCCGACACTGTGTGTGATTAAATTTGGCATTTTGTAAGACTAATTCCAGCCATGCTTTGAACTCTACTAATTAGTAATTCCGACACTCTTGTGTTCAAATTCCGATCGCTGTGTGAGGCTGTGAGCTGTATTGGAATACGACACAGACTGGAATTAGAACACTATTGAATATTGAACACTACTTATTTAGGTTTTTAATTAAGAGCTATTAAGCTTTTATCAAGAGCTATTAAGCTTTTAATCAAGATAATTTTAATTTTTGCACACAGCTTGGAACGCTCTGTGTGTGTCTAATTCCAAGCTGTGTTGGAATTAGTTTTTAAGTGTCTAAAACCGTCTCTTAACTTAATCATCTATTAATTTTTTTACCACTTGAAATCAGCAAATACAAGTGTACTTAAAGCCAAAGGATTCCTAATATATTCATAGACATATTTAAAAGTCTCAAACCATAATCATCATGATAATAGGTAGTACTTGGCTACTTGCCCTACTTAGTACGTTAGTAGTAAGTCCTAGTCAGATACGGTACCATTTCATTTGCAAATCATGAAAATTTGGGGAGCATGCACAAAAAATAATGTAATACTTTTTTACTATGTTTTGTTAAAATCTCGACTCTGGAGACTATTAAAACTTTTCCGATGCACGTCGCGGTTGCACTAAGGGGATGCATGCCAGAGGCCAGCATTGCCCATTGCCCAAGACCAGCATATTTTTCATCCTCCTTTCCATGCGTAAGCCTGCTAAAGGGTAGAGTAGACTAAGGGACTATATGTTAAAAGCCAAAGGTACAAATCCCCTTCATGGAAATTAACCAGCAAGCTAATGAGAAGTAAGCCACCAATACAATCGCTCTACGCCATATTTAAAACCGTACAACAGCTCTATGCCATGCCGTCTAACCTCCTCACGATTTTTGGTAAGCAACTCCCTTCGCCATACCGCTGTTGAATGTTGATACACAGCTAGCACTCCAGCCTGTCCATTTGTCGCAGCTGTTTTCCCCTGGCATAACTCTACCTCCACGCTTACCCCATCTTCCAGCATTTTTTTCACCAACTGCAGGACGGCTTTTCTTAGTTTCTGCTCACTTGAGACTTGACTGCATTACGCTATGAAAAGAGGATCTATACAAGTTGTAAACTAACTTGACCTAACCTAACCTAATTCAGATGAGCATCAAAGGTCTGCGAGAATTCCGAGAAAAGCCTCCAGTTAGCCATGCGATAATGGTGGAGAGTCAGGGTAAGTGTGGGGGGAAGAAGATGCTGGGGGATAGTAAGGCAGGGAAACAATGTCGCTGGGTTCACGTCATAGTGGCAAAGCAGAGAGTTTTTTAGACTCTCCCTCAAGTTCATTTTTGAGTCCTATATGTAGACCAGTAAAGTATCCTGGATACCAGCATTATCATACTTGAGAAATTGGTTTAAATCTTGAGTAAATGAGAAAATTAAAAATGAACTGATTCTAAAAAGCTCTGGTTTGCACTTTGCAACAGCATCTTGCATCACAAGCAACAGCATCTTGCATCAGCGTGCCCAAATGAGGGCAAATAGACGGAACACGTCCAACGTTACATCTGACGACGACTCGGAGACGGAGGACGACGAAGGCGGCGCATCAGCGTGACCGTGGACTGCGACGTCCTAAACTCATCATAAGGTCATAAGGTAAGGTTATGGTTCACGTCTTGCGGAGTAAGCAAGGTGATGATGCATTACCGTTTGGTACAGTTCACATTTGTTGCAATGCAGTGTGGTCAGCGGCCAGCGCCTCAGCGGACACTTTGGATAACAGCATGTGTAAGAAGTGATGGTATGGGTTATAAAGCATTGGAGAACAACGTATTGACCGTTAACTATGTGGAGTAGCAGATTGTGTGCTGAAGCAGTGTTGGTTTAAAGTTCGTGTGGTGAGATAGGTCAATTGACTACAGCTGCTTAGGTGCCACCGTGCCAGGATGACAATATCTATTATCTATACACTATAGCATTTAGATAGTTGATGTTGGCTCCAGGGCTGATTTGAGCGTTAATTTGCTGGTCTACGGCTGCGCACCCGCACTAAGTAGGTAGTATACTGGTAGTAAGTGTTTGCCTTTGTCAGTTTGTGGAGGCACTTTGGTCTTTAGTTTAGGTAGGTACGACGTACGAGTTGCGGAACAATTAATTGAGAATGTAAAGTGGTAAACAAAATTAAGTTTCTGAAAAAAAAACTGGAGTGCGTGGCGTCAGTCGGTCACAATTTTTGTTGGAAATTAAATTTTAGCAGGTAAACCAAACAACACAATATAATAAAAATACAATACACTACAGTATACAGGCACAATAATAGCGCACACATGAGCACGAGCAACGATATACAAATCTAAAAACTGCTGCGCGATTATTACCCTAATGCTAAAATAATTGTACCCTATGTAAAGACTGCGAAATTGTCGTATTGCCCAGCGTACAGATGTTTAGACTTCATGTGAATAGGAGCAACGGTTTGGTTTAAAATGACGTACTTAATAGGTTACTTGCTAGTCTGTCTATGAAATTAAATTAGCGTAGAAAATCAGTTCAAAACTAAGCAACGGCTAAAACCGAACGTCAATTACTTTCCACTATATAATAAAATCTACTTGGTGACAATATGACTGTAATTTTGAAGGGATTTTACTGCAATTAGCTGTCCGTCATCATCGATGAAAAGTGTTGCCTATACTCGGGCTATTCATTTCCGATGTCTGAAATTTGAACAATGAAGCTCTCTTAAATAAATCTTTGACTTTACCTCAACATATTCACGTTCGTGCCCTGATGGCGTCAGGCTGCAATATATTATTTTTTTAGTGAAGAAAAGTGTCACCGACGTGAAAGCGTGCCCAAAATCGTCACCAATGGCTTGAGAAAAGGCTTCACATCATTACTTTTACTTTGAAAGCGCTCATATAATTAGATAGTGTTGCTTTAGTTGCAACTTGCCTGATCCTACGCCATTCTAATGAAGTGTACCTAATTGATGTAGTGGCACCTCGATTATGAGCCTCTACCATTTAATTTGAAATTGATGTAATGGCAACCGCTCTTGATCATTCGCCACATGCACACACGGGTTACATTTAGAAGCACTTTGTGCAAATCGACACGTTCAGCGACGCCCACGTGATTGAAATATAATTCCTGCATTTCTGACACCATCCTGCTTTTTTTAATAGGAGAAATTGCAAATTAATTAGACTGCAATTTTATTTGCTAGATTGAATTTTTCAGCAGTTGTAACAAGGACGGTCAATGCATTCTGCAAATTTGAACACAATCGCGCAAATGAGATCATCATTGTTTTCAGAGTTGCAACATCACCCTAGTCTAGTTCGTAACGTTTGATGATGATTGTACTTCTAAGAACATTCTAATCATCAAGTACAAATGTCATGAGCGAGTTTAAATACCATTCTAATCCATGAGATACTTTAAGGTGAATCATTTAATTCTAATCTTGATTGACAGGAGAAAAAAAGTCATATGTTGAAAATACCATTATGATCTAAAACATAACGGGAGAGGAATAAGCTCTCTCAACACGAGGCCGACAACGCACATCACGTGTCTGCGAGCACGTAGAACTAACTCCATTCAACGCGGGATACAAACAATTTCACGGACGCTACGAGACTCGAATGCAGACAGGAGGTACTAAAATAATTACGTTAAATATTTCATTAAATAAAAAAGAACCGACACTCCACAGCCCGACAAGAGCTTGATCACAACATTCAGAAGCCTAAATCTTATATACATACATGCTAAATTGAAACGGTACTCTAGCGTCAATAGTGGGAAAATTTAGAGAATGGCTAACAAATACATCGAGAACGCAAAATTCTTTTAAAACAAGTAAGAAACAACAAGATTCACAACGCGATGTGAATCAAACACAATTTTACAAATTGAATAAATGTCACGGTCTCTAACTTTGAACTGAATAAAAGTATGGGCAAACATGTTTATAGTATTTACAAACATTAAAAATGCAAAGAAAGAAAACTAGTCCCCTTCCAGAAAAATTTTAACGTCAAAAGAAGGTGAGCAGATGAAGCCATTAAGTAAACAGAGTTTGAATATTGTTCATCTTAATATCATATAACATAATAGGCCTCAACTGACCATGTGATTTTGTGAACAGCTCTATTCATATCTTTCTATTATAAGAACTGAGATAGGAAATCTTAAAGGAGAGAGTCACACTAATTGATCACGCCAGTAATGAACGAAAATGTTTAAATTAAATGCGAGCTTTTCAGAGCTAATCAACGTCAATGTATTCTAATAATCATACATTTCTTGCTTTGAATCATACTTGCTCAAAACTCTGACCACATACGATTTAGATGAACGTCTCATCTAGGAAAATAAACAAAACTAAAGGGAATGCTACACGACCAATACATGCCACCAATTCATTAAATTGCATGGGTGTCATTCCATCACACAAACTGAAGATCAGGTGTGACTGTCGCCCATTCACTCACAGATATTCTCTAAGAAAGCAGAAAAATCACCAACTGTTTCTCGGAACTCGGAAGCAACAACACAAACAATTTACGAGCGGAACGCAAAACGTCACTGATGTGAAGTAAACTAATGGTGAAGGTGTAGCTGTGCACCAGTTAGCTTAGATCTTCCTGAGTCTAGCAGACGATTGCTTGGGCGCTGATCTGACGGAGGTTGTGATGGCGGACTTCTTGGAGGGTTCAGATACAGATCTCTCGCTTTGATTGCTTTTCCGTGTTTTTGTGGCTGAGCCGTTGCGGGTCATAAGAGATTGCCCTGAAAAGTGCAACTTCAAATAAGATACTTAACAGATTTGAATAAGAATAGAAAATGTAATAATGAAAACTAATGAGAGAAAAGTATATCATGGGTCTGGTTTCCTTCCCTCAACAAAAACCAATAACTTACTCTTGAGTTCAGCCTTGAGATGTTCGGGCAGCCAGTCGTAGTCAACGCCGTCAGCAGAGTCAGTGCCCAGTTCAACGCCAGAATTTTGGCTCGACTGCTTCTTGGCGCTGCCCTTCTTGCCTCCACTGGCGCTGAACGAGCTCAGCAGCGTGTGACCTGCTCACCAATAATCAATCATTGAGAGAAGCAGGGGATCACAAACAACGTTTGAAGAAAAATCAACATCGGTACCTAAAATAACCAATTTGAGAAGAAACAGAGAAACAATTCACCATTTACCAAATATTATCCTGAGCTGGTCACAGATTAAAATATACGTAATTCATATTTCGAGTT